ATTGTGTGCTAAAGCAAGTACCAGAACAAGATACTGGAAGTGCCATTTTGTATTTCCAGCTGGGACAACAGACAGCAGTTCGGCAGGGAGGTGCACAGGTAGGGAAGGGGAGGATGCAACCACTGCCAAAACATTGGACCATGCCACCATGGGGCAGCTCTACCATCCCACCTTCCCCACAGCAGGCACTGATGAGGAGGAAAAGGGGTTTGGAGCATTAAGGTACAAAGTCAGCCCTACCCTCAAATTAGAAATAATGCAAGCCACGTGATATGTCAAAACAGCTGACTGAAATCAGCTGAACTGGGATAACAACAGGCTATCAGAGATTGTCTTAAAAGATGGTTTTATAAAGCATGTAGAATAACAGAAGGTGTGGTGAGGTTGGCTTTGCATGGTTGTGGAAGAACAATCAACCTAGCAGAATCTGACATGCTGAAGTAAGAAACTCCTATGAATGAATGTGCTGGGGAGCAAGTAGAAAAACCAACAGTTGGATATAAGCTTGTTTGCTTGTCATGATACAGGAAAGAAGGGATTCCTGAAGACAACAGAATTTGCCTTGGTAGAGTTACCATGTGCCAGTTCACAATATCTCAACTCTTTGGAGCTGGAAGTAAAACTGAAATTTGACCTTGACAATACTACTGTTGAGGGACACTAACCAAATTAATTGACAGGTTTGCCATGATAGTAAACCCAAACAAGTCCAGGATTTGAATACATCCAAAAGAACTTCTCAAAGCCAGAAAATGTGAGCACCGCTTCTTGGCAACTGATAAGCAGGTCACATCTAGACTTCAAAAAGCTAAGGCATAGTTTTAGTGCTAGTAAATTTTCTTTGTTAAAAACACAGCATATAAAATGCCCCCCATGCATTTCCTCAGGTAGATGTTTAACTGAATTCCTGTTAGACTACAAGTAGGTCCTTGATGAGCATGAAAGCATCAAGTTTGCCACAGGACTCTAACATTTGGAAGTAGTGTCACAGATGCTTCTAAGGCTCCAGAAATTATTATAAAATTACAAAATTACTGGATGGAGCTTTTACTGGTGCACAGATTTTCAGTAATTTGCATGAGAAGAAAACACAAGAAGCTGCAAGAGGATGTGCTCCGAGTCATGTATAATTTGAGTGTGACCCACTTCTGTAATAGAATTAAACAGTCTCAAGTAAGATGAATAAAATGAACTGATCAGTGAAATTTAGAAGCACAATTCCAAATGGAGAAACTCTCAAAAGGAGAAACTCTCCCACCTTGCAGGGTAAAATGATACTGACAATACTGAAATGGAACTACAAGAGATAGTGCAATTGTGGGTACAGAAGGCAATGTAACAACACCATCATGCACAATGAGATAAAAAATAGTAAACATAATTTGCAGTATCCATCTGGCTCCATACAAGATGAGGGAGCAAAAAAAATCCTACTGTGGTCAGGCAAATGCTGTCATTCAAGATAAGGGATCCAAGTATAAATTCTACAATAAATTCAGAAAATTATGCAAAAAAACCCCTTTCAAAGCCATAAGAGACCTGTGATTGCTGTTGATACAGATACATTTGGACTAAACAGAAAAGATGAATTATTAATAATTTTGACTTGTTACAAAACATGCTGAATAACACTGTAAAACACACTCTAAATCACAGTTTACATGTCCTGGATTCCAGATGAACCAATACCAGATAACGGCCTGCATTTCACAAGTGACTTGTTTCAGCAATTTGCTTGAGAAATCAGATCAACCAGACTACAGCAAGTCCTTAGGAGGCACTGCCACATGAGCAAGCAAGAAGACTGTTTGGTAAATATAATAAAGAACCAGAGGTCCAAGCAAACCACGTCTGGCCTTGTTAGATTATTATAGCACACTTCTTAGTGCTCTGTTGAGATTTCCTGTTCAAAGAATTATGGGCAATAAGGGACAAACCCCATAGATGTGTTAAGCCAGCAACATTTAAGGATTAGAAAAGAGCTATTTGTCTATAACACAAACAGAGGGAATGCTACAAACACAGCCAAGACAAGTGGTGTTGCAAATGGAAGGCAAAGTTAGATTTCAGGGTGATTTTATAGCTACCAATTGAACACAGTCTCCTCTCAGCTGCAATGAAGTCAGATGACATAAACCTTCCAAATCATTTTTCTCATTATTGGACTAGAGAAAAAGTTAAGTAAAAGTGAGAGGCGCTCTGGCTCCATGCATTTTAAGGACCAATACAATACTATGTTGACAGAATTTATGTCATGACAGAAGAACCAGCTTTGTATTCAAACACCATCCATCAATAAAATAGTTTAAGTTCAAAGATTCATTGACTGTAAGAGGAATGATTGTGTAACATATGACAGCCTCAGAACATTGATAGATTAGATTGGTCTAGTTGTGTATTTTATTAACTGACTGCTTCAGTTTGTAGATGTTACTTTACACACATTTGCTGTTAAAAGAAATCAGTATAGCAGTTGCTGCTGACTTGTGCAAAACAAGAAAGAGAGTAACCTTTGGGTAACGCTGATCCACATGTGCGCTGAAGCAGAGAACAATTTTCATCTCCTCCCAAAACATCTTTATTTCAAATATTACACATCTTGACAGAATTTGGCAGATAAAATAATCTGGTGCCTCTCATTTCAATTAGTTTCAGATTCCAACTGCTGGATCTTGTTATTATTTTGTCTATGCAAAGAGCATTCTACTATCAGATGGCTTCTCACTGCATAGGTACTTACACAATGTGTTCAAGTAATTTATAAACCTTCTGTTAAACAGTTACAAGCAATTGGCTTTTTGTGGCATGCTTTCTTTTTCTTGTTTTTCAAACCTTGAGTCATTCTTGTAGCTCTTCTGCAAACCTCTCCCAATCTTTCCACATCCTTCTTTAGCATTGACACCAGATTAGGATGTCCAGGAACAGTTTTGCTTTGCCCAGAGATAACCCCACCTCATGCTTTCATCGCATATTCCCATAAAAACTAACACATTTAGCAGCTGCACTGCACTGGGAGGTCCTGTGCAGCTGGATGATCCCAGCAACCACGATCAGAGAGACCTTTTCAGAGCTGCTGCTTTCTGAGGGGGCCTCTTGTTCTGCGAGGATGACTGACACCTTTTGTTCCCAGCTGCATGACCTTGGACGTGTCTCCACTGAAATGTGTATTGTTTGAGCACACCAGAAGATGGCTTTGTAAGCTATGAGTGACCCCTCCCATGACACATGGTTACACTGAATCTCCTTTCACCTGAAAACTTTTAACAGTCATCTTTCAAATCACTGCCAAATAACACTGAGCCAAAAAGAAATCCCTGCAGCTGCACTAGAAACCACCCCATATATAATAATTTCCAATCAGCAAACAAGACATAGCTAGTTTCTAACAGATTTTTCTGTATTTATTTTGTATACTCTTAATGTTTTAATCTGAATGTCGTGCTGTAGCAAGTTAAATATCACAGAGATATCTAAGCACAATAAAACAAAATAACCCCCCATGCAAACTAATTAAATGCAAATTAATTATATAAGATATATCAAGTTAATTCAGCAGGCCCATTGCCCATAACACTTTGACACCCACAACAAACCATTTACAGAATCCCCACAAAGACCAGTGTGTGCTTGCACAAGGTGCAAGTGACTTCAAATGTGTTTGTGGGCACGGAGAGAGCTGATGTCTAATGTCACCAGTACAACATCACTGGAACATAAATACTTGTTACTTGAGCACTTAACTCCTCTTCTGGGACTGCAGAAGCTTTTCTGTATGTCATACACTTATCTGTATCACACCACAGTACAGATAAACAGATGATAAAATGCACTGAAGTGATGATCTGCCTGGAGGGCAAAAGCCCAGCTAAACAAAAACCACCAGAGAAAATAAGAGAGAACAGAAGGAGTGGTGTTCACTTTGAGACATTCACCCACCACTGTTTATGGGACTTGACTCTCACACCCTTCATTTCAATTAACTGTGTGCCTTGAAATTTCTCCTAACAGAAAGCTGGATAGCATCTCTGGTAAGGAAGGCTGGAACATGACATGGCAAATGGTGGATGACCTTGAGGGCTGGTGTAGTAGAAACGGGAAAAAGCTCAAAAGCACAGAGTGCCAGGACATGTACTTGGGGAGTAATAAACAGAACCTCTGCTGTAAATTGTGATAGAACCAGTAGGAAATCACAAAGGAGGAGAAAGGCCTGGATGCATCATCCAACTGAAGGATGACTGTGGGTCTCTGGTGTGATGCAGCATGAAAAAAGCAAATACAACCCCAAAATATTTCAGGCAAGGAATTTCCATCAGAGAAAGGGAACCATCACCCCACTTATACAAGGCATTGATCAGACCTTGTTAGGGAATGGTCCTTCTCATCCATATGTGAGAAAGGCAAATACAAACGAGAACAGGTTGCAGAAAGGGCTGCTAGATTGACAACAGGTCTTACACAGAGAAGTCTACATGAAAGTATATGTAGAGTGGGAAAAAGAAAACAGAGGATGCCATTGCTCTTCATATGTACATCAGAGAAAGAGAGAGACACATAAACTAAAGGTTACATCTGTCTCAAGAACAATTGACGAGTAATAAGTACATGTTACAACTTGCAGCACAGTTTCTAGTTATCAAAGTGTCCCACTGTGGGACAGTGGTGGGAATAATATCTGCATAATCTTCATATTTTTTTACTGAGCTTATTAAGTTTAAGGGTGATAGTGTTACTTGCAACCACAGAGTATTGGATTAAACAACTCAGAGGGCCCTTTCTAGTCCTGTGAGTTACAGACACTGTTTTGTGATAGAAGTAACATGTAGCTATGGTTGGGTGATCCTTGTTGTACCCCAGAAGGCACTCGGAATGAAACCAAGTCCAGATCACTCAAAAAACCCTGAAAACATGTTTTCAGTGACTTAGAAAAGAAAGGACATGTGGAAAGAGGGAACACGAAAACAAGAAGACAAATAAATTTCTTCAAACACCAACAGTCTTACCTCCCATGAGGAAGAGAAGCCCCGCCACATACTGCATAAGGCCTCGATCCCAACAGCACCCCAGCACCCCGATAATCCATCCAAAGAGGATGATGGCCACAGCCATGCCCATGAAGCCAGCTGTCATCCTGCGCAGATCTGCAGTGGGGAAGACAGAAAATCAGTGTGAGTGTGAACAGTGATAAATCAGCATGATCACGGGTTCATAACAGTCTTAATCCAAAATGCTACTGATCCTGCAGGGTCACCAGTGTGTGTTGGCATGGGATGATTTGAGTAAGGATGATTCAGATAGGGGACAAGCCATAAATTAAGATACTAACTTGGGCTGGGGAGGGAGAGCAGGTGACCATTTTACCACACAATAAGGCTCAGCGCAGATGCACTCAAGTGACTTGTGACAACTTGCTCAGGAGTTAGAAGTTGTAAAATGGCCTCAGTGCAACGTTGTATCTAATAGCTGTAGTCTCTGGGTACTAGCACAACATCTGTTTACATCCTGCCTTCTCATCTCTGCCCTTTACTCCACTGCATTCAGTGGATGCACCTGCTCAAACTGATGGGCAAAGCGGTTTCTGTGCTTTGTGCTGGGCAGACGTGACAGAGGATTCACCCCGATTCTGACCCACTGTGTGATCTTGGGCAAGTCCCTGAGCCCCTCTGGGCTGCAGCTTCCCACGTGTGAGTTGGGCCATAGTGCCTTGGTGTCCAGCAGTGGGATGAGTGAAACCCGGGACATTCAGAACAGGGAGGCACACGGGTATTCTGGTGTCACACGTAATAAATGCGCTGCAGATGCACGGCTGGGACACAGGACACTTCATTGCCGTCTCTTGTATCCAGATGGTGACCTTGCTGGATTGTTTTTGGTGAGGACATTTTTGAGTGCTCCAGGGAGCATTAAGAGTAAGAGGAGGGCAGGGAGTTGGAGTGAAACATTTTGTGCTTTTCAGGTGTGGACTGAGTACCACTTCTGATACGGGTGCAAGGGATTGACATGCATTTGTTTCATAAACAAAGGAAAAGGACCCCCAAGACCTAATGTAAGGAATCCTTAAATTAAGGCCTGGCTATGTTGCATATTTGCCTTCTGCAAAAAGGATGGGACTGCTGGGATCCCTCTCCCTGCATGTGCTGGGAAAAAAAATAAAATTCTTCACAGTTGGTTTTGATTTGAAATCTGGGCAGTGAGACCACCTGGCAACCGAAAGAGCAAGGACTATGTGAGCTAAAGAGCATTTTCACACCCTCAAATAATGAAACAGATGGGGTTATCTTCACTAACATTTGATTGTTCCCTGTCCCCCCTCATGCACGCATAAAAAGTTTAAGCACTGATATGTCAAGAGTATATGTATGGGGAAAATTCCAGCCAAGTCAGCTCTCCAAACATTTGTTTCCTTCTTGAAACTTTTTTTTTTTTTTTTGCATAGCAATGATTTTACTTTTATTTTTTTTCAAGAAACAGAATGCTTATGACAGAGAAGGAAGATTTGAAAACTGTGAATCATCCTCCAATCTCTATGGCAGCTTTTCTCCTTGGCTGGCCTTGGACTATTTCTCAATTTCTGTAATTTTTTTATGTTCTTCCCACAGTGGATAAAAGGACCACCAACACCAGCAGTGCAGATTCAATGAAATTTCTGAATAGTGATAAAATCCCACCATCAGAGATTTATGTATCCAAAATGCTAAGTGTCCACAAGGTCTATAGGTATGTTGGGACAGAATGATTTGATTTAATGGAAGGCAGTTTACTCAGACTCATATTTATTATAGCCCTTCTTATGCAAGATCAAGTTGCAGAATGTAACCCCTCCCTTGAAACTATAACTGGTTCCTGTAGACTGTCACTGATTTTTCAAGGAGTCTCTCTGACAACAGATAACCAGGTCTTCAGGCCACCAGTGATCAGGCCCTTTTAATAAGATACACATCTTAAAAGTTGTACTTTTTTCTTAGGTTTTGTGACTGTCCCACCACATTTGAGTATGTTCAAGGAGTTTTAGTGCAGGAAAAAGAAAAAAAAGCATTTCCTGCAGCAACTTGTACTTCCCATAGGCAGTGCTAGCCTCTGCTCCTTGGGAATTTGAGTGCTTTCTAAAACAAGCAGCAATGTTGGTAAGCATGTTTGACGGCCGAATGTCTCCCTGCTTTTTCAGCCCATGAAGGCTCAATTCGAAAGATGAATGAAAACATAAAATGTTTACTGTTTCCTATGTCATCTTCAATAACAGCACAACATGTCTCTCGGAGGTGCTGCACAGCTGTCTGTGTCAGCCCTACAAACTCCTTCCATTATAACTTGTGACTGCTGACTCTGGGTAACAACAGCACTTGTTCTTCCTGATGGAAACATACCCTAACAACCTGCTTTTAATGAGCTGAATTTAAATAGCCTTATTCAGCTGCAAGATGTCTATAACTCCTCGACACACCCCAATGCCTAGCTGATGGAGCCAGTTTTCATAGGTCCCAGAGTGGATTGCAAGCATTCCCACATCCTGTACACCAAACTAAGAAATGGTTTTTATCCCACTAAAACCAGTGTGAGTTTTGCCACTGAACAGAAGAGTTAAAGGACCATGACCAACATTTCTAGGCCAAATTTTAATGTTTGTTTCACTTGACCTCTCCTCCTGATGGAGCCTGAAATTCCCTTTCTAACAACACAGCAAAATTCATCATCTTAACTCTGGGCTTACATTATCTCTTGAAAAAAGCCAGAAAGCTAACTTCTGGCAGACACTCAATACCACACGTTAAAAAATTCAAAATTGAACTTCTTTATGAAATCTCAGTTGTCACAAGTTCAGTGAGCTTAGTTTAAGATTGCCACTGCTTAGGCCAGTTGCAAATCTGCTCCTCACAATTCTGTTGGTTAGGGCTTATCTGAAACAAATAAAATACAAACTTTCTTTTCTATTCAAAACCATCTTGGCTTTTGTCCTGCCATAGCGTTCCCCAATGGGAGCCCTTGCAAAAGGCAGCGCTGGAAAAGGGGGTTTCAAAGTTGGTTCCAATAATAGCCTGCACTTGTCCAACAGCATCTTCCTGGTGCTCCTCACCTGCCCACAGGAAGCTGAGGTCAGTGCTTGGTTCAAGTCTATTCAAAGTGATTCTTTTGCAGAAAAGTACTTATTGTATGTAAACGAATCATCACCCTCAGGGTATTTAGTGAAGGCCAGGGAACAGGAGCCTATATTCCCTGGACTCAATCTCTATTAGTGGTACTTTTTATGATCACTGTTTTGTTGGTGCAGGCTCCACATGGAAAGGACAGAAGAAAAGCAAAGATTTGCATTGTGTACTCGAGGCAATTTTTAAATTTGTTCTGCTAATTTAGGATGGAGGGCTGACATATAAATAAACAATAGCTCATCAGTACAAATTGATGGGGTTTTGTCTGAGTTTGATTGGCACTGATAAGACCCTTCCTGAATGCATCCTGCAAAGGTAAAAAGGGTCATGCTGTCAAGTAACGCCACTTGATGTCATTTGAGCATATCCTGAGTTTGTTTGGCTTTATTTTTATGAAATTGCTCTTATTTTTAGACTATGAAATGAATAGTTCTCTACATTCTTTCTCTCTTTGAAAACCTCTCTCAGTAACTACAGCATCTCAGGGTCATGGCATGATGATCTCAATCAACTGAATGAGCGGCTGTGCCAGCAAAATGCACTGTTGTATCTCATACAGCCAAACGGGAGCTGCAACAGCAAACATACCTTATCTCAGTGCACTCCTGTGCATTTCTTAGCTGGTTATAAAGCTGATCCTCTCCTGGATACCCATCCCATGTCCTCACACTGCAGCAAAGTGCACAGACTGCAGGGACACTTTGAATTCCCCTTCTCCACTATCTAGCAAACCGAACCTTCAGAAGTGTAGTTACAAGGTGCAAATAAGGAAGGTGTTACATTGCTTTTTCTGTAACACCTACAATATAGAAGTTGAGTTTTAATGCTTTGCCTATATGACCACTAGTTTCAATTTTTTACTGTATGGACATAAATACCACCATCACTTGTGGGCGAAAGTGCAATATTATCTTTCCCCACATGTTTTAGAGACACCTTCTTCATCTCTTTTTCTTTTTGATGTTGACTAAAAGCTATGGGTGAATATCTTGTATTTGTGAGTCCTTTTCATGCCTAGTGCTGCTACAGGTGCTGCTGCATGTAAAAGGCAGGAAACTCAATCCTGACTCAAAATCAATATGGATCACCAGGCAAGGAATACAGCATTCATGAACTCTGTAAACAACAAATTTCTCGACTGTTTACAATGGAGAAGGGACAGGGAATGAAGTAATCCAATTCCTGTGACTAAAACTGACATGGTAAATTTGAAAGCTGCAAGCTTTGTGAATCGTGATAAAAAGAGAAATATTAGCATTTTAGACAACCTCCTTAAAATAGAGGCAGATTCTCATACAACAACGTGCATTTCCTAAAAGCGTTTTAGTTTTCTGCTGGAGAATATTAACTCTAGAGGTTTTCTGAAGACAAATAAAGGCAGAAAAGCTGATTAAGATCCATTTAGTTCCAAGCAACATGTGATGGAAGGTTCTCTCTGTCAGTTTGCCCTTTCTTTCACCCTGATATCTGTCCATCTGTATTTGTTATGAGCACTAAAGTAATTCATGCTGGTTATCACACTGTGGAAGAAGTTTCACACCCCAGCAGCTGCAAACATAACATGTTCTGAATCAGCTTTGCTTCTTGAAAATTTCAATATGCCTTTTTGACTTCTGATGTTCTGTCCACTTTCTTGAAATTGCAAGTCATCTTTCTAAAGCAAGGGCTTGGTCTTCCTCTTGGTATCTTTCTATCTTCCTTTCCACAGAGTTTAATAATACTTCCAAAATACTAGAGATTTCTTTCCTCACAATGCATACAGCGAGGAATATATGAGCCTTTTGTGAAAGACGAGGAAACCAAGCCGAGAATAGTCAACATACCCAAAGCTACATGAAAAGTTTGTGGAGGAGTATATAATTGAATCTATATTATCAGGCTTTCTGACCAGCCCTTGTGCCACATAGCACTGCTTGTTCTCAAGCATTTGGTAGCAGATCAGACTACAGTGCTTGTTATCAGACCATCAGAAAGTGCAAAACTGCTGCAAATAGTAT